AAAATGCAGCAAACAATTGATAGTTATAAATTTAAAAATTAGAGCAAGTAGATCAATTTATCCATCTCAGCAAAATGCTTACAAATGTTGGGGTAATGTGTGGAGAAATTTTAAGGTGTGCAGATGCTGGGACAGAGATAACAAATAGTCTGAGTGAAATGAACATCTCTCAAAAGTGAAAATGATCAGATACAAGACTGCTTCTGCCCATTTTGATGTAAAACAGTGAGAGCTGGTTATGTCAGAAAAATCATAAGATCAATGCAGTGTGTGATAGAACAAGAAAATATGGGGTCAAGAATGAATGGGTACTGGATGAATGTGTATTGAATACAAAACTGAGCAAATAGTACAAAAGAAGAACATGGAGGTGGTTTGGTCACATGGGAAGAATGAAGGAAGAATTAATCACAAATACATAAAGGGTTAAAAGTAGAAGACTGAGGAAGTTGTGGATAGATGAAGTTGATGAGATCCTTAATAAGAGAGAGTGAAGTTTTAAGAACAAAAGGTAATGTATGAATAGAAGAATGGATGCTATAGAAGCAAGGATAGTTTGCAAGGACAGAAGGTACAGAACGTATGGAGAGGTGTCATGAATGATGTTGAACTAAACTCGATTTCGTTATACTGAATTTTCTTTTCCTTGCTTTAATTTCTATGGCTTACTATTTTTCACTTCTTTTCTGAACTTTATGTAGTATTATCTACCACAAAAGAGATTAGCATGATAGGTATGCATATGTATGTGCACATTTTAGGGATAGGCAGTAAACTGCAACAACACAAAAACCTAAGTCATAATAAATGTTGTAGTCCTTAAGGTGCTTCAATAGATTAATAGTCTACCAGCAATTTTAAAAAAAATTAAATGAGTATTAGCTTTAATTCATTTATCAACTATTTTCAGAAGAAATCTTAGTGTCCTTTTGTAACATTATTTAGTACTGTTATCTGTATTCCATTGGCAGGATTATGTCAGACTGCATTAGTGAAAAAACAGAACAAAAGATGAATCCAATAAGGAACACCCAGAACCACCATGTTTATCTGTATTGCATTACTAAAATGTTATTCTTAATACCAATACTCTGAACATGTTTGGCAACATTTATATATTAGTTCTTAAGGAAACATTTCACCTTTTACTTTGTGATTAAAACAAATGTTGGAATAAAAGCAGCCCAATCTAACTAGTTCCTCATTAAAGAAAGAAAACCTTGCACAAGATGAATAAAAAGTTCATTGTGCTGGCCAAATAGTTACTACACAGCTAGAATTTCCAGTACAATACATACTACACTTTATCTAAGCTGCCGGTGTTATACATTTTTCTGGTTGCTGTTTGTCAACCTCCTTATGCCGTTTGTTTCAATTAGCCCACATATCCACTAATGTGTTTCACAATTAAAAAAAAGGAAGTATACTTAGAAATCAAATGTAACAAATCTGTATTAATCCATTTATTAAGACATGATAAAAAGTTTCTGGATAGCTTAGGATAAAATCCATCTAATCTATCATTCGTCACAAAAGATGCAGCACCGAATAGTACTGTGTAACCAACTAGAAACTTGACAGGTAGCCCCTATCTATCTAAAGCCAAACTTAGTGTAGGAAATTCAAAACACCTTGCTTAATGAAGTTGGCATCTTTATTAATAATTAAACATTTGTTATATATTTAACATCTACTACAATGTGGCATGTGCTTATTTGCCTGAAGTCTCAATAACAGCATGTAGCATTTCTGCTAAATAAACCTCTATGCTGATAGGAAAATTTCTCCCTTGAATATAAGCTTCATGTTTTGATGGAAAAAGTTCATGAGAAAGGCCTTATAGATACCCTAAATAATAGGCAGACTTATGGGAAAAGGCACCCCCTTAGTCATCTGGACTCAAAGCTACTTAAATCTTTAAAAGGTTAAGAAACTGTATATTCAACTGGCTCAGGAAACTAACAGGCAGTCAAAAGAAAGCTCTTTTAATATTACTATGATATCAATACATTGAGCTACATCATCAGTACCCTATTAATATAGTTACAGATACTTATCAAACATCTTCAAGAGCAGAGATGTGTATGGTATATTTGCAGTAATCTACAGGTAGATCTTGCTTAACATACACAATAGGGATCAGAACATTTGTTAAGTGGGGAGGCTGTTAAAGAGTCCAACCTGATTTTACAACCTTTTTTGCAGCGGTCATTAAGCGAATCACACAGCCATTAAGCGAATCATGCAGTCATTAAGCAAATCACGCAGTTCCCCATTGATTTTGCTTGCTGGAAGTGAGCTGGGAAGGTCGCAAATGACGATCATGTGACCCTGGGACGCTGCAACCATCATAACTGCAAGATGGTTGCCAAGCGCCCAGATCATGATCACATGACCACGGGGGTGCCACAGTGGTTATAAGTGCGAGGACCATTGTAAGTCTCTGTTCAGCACCACTATAACTTCAAATGGTCACTAAACAAATGGTTGTTAAGTGAGGACTACTTGTAATTGGAAGGTTAACAAAAGATGCGTCACTGTGATCAGACTAATATTTTAGCTCTTCCATTAATAATGAAGTAAAATCAACTATAAACTGCATAACTATAATTAAAATATAAAAGGCATAAAATTAACAAATAATTTGCCTTCAACTGGAACTGATATCATGCAGAATGAATATCTTTCTTGCCAAAACAATATTGCCTTCGTATCAAGGACATCTCATGACTTGAATTCTTGGGTCTCCTCATGAGGACTACCAAAAGAGGGAGGGAATTTCAAGGACTGTGAAATAGTCAGGAAACTCCTAGCGTTTGGCCAACTATTAGTTAAATTTAAGCTTTCAAATGAATGTAGAAAGTTACTAGCATAACAAGTACTTTTAAAATATCCTACATTTGTAAGTTGCATGACATCATTGATACTATAGTAAAGTTGATTTTTTTTATGGATTGGTGTGAGTCATATTCTGATTTCTAGACAGTCTCTTCCAGTATTTTAGTCACTTGTCCAGTAATGCACATCCACATTTTATTGCCCTACAAAACCATTTAAGCAGTTATAATACTTCCACATTTAAATGTTTGCTCTGGGTTACTGTCATATTTTATATTTACTTCCTCTAGATAATGTACAATCACAAACAGATCCATCTGCTATGGTACCACTGCTCCCCACATTCATTACAAATTACATAAGTCATCATTTGTTCATCTGCATTTGTATTCCTCACCCAACCAGGAAGGAAAAGGGCTCCCCTTGCAATGACAGTAACAGTGCAATCGTATTTTTCACAGTGCCTACATTTTATTTTGCTTGTATGTGTACCATTGATATTTTGAGGGAGCTGATGTTCCAGAACAGATGATTTTGTATATGAAGTCCTAAGCTGTTTCAATTCAGCGTGTGCCATTTCCATCACAGACATATCAGCAAATGTTTTGGGATTAAGAGCCCCTGTAAGCAAGTTACTCTTTAAGTGAGAATTTTTAGGATTTTTCAAGTTTAAAACTTTGCTCCGGATGCAGTTTTTGTATTTTCTATTATTTTTAACATACATTGCAAAAATGTGCTGTTCAATTTCTTCTGCTATTTTGTGATGCTTTTCATTTTGTTCATTGCTTGTTGAAGAATCAAGCAAAGCTTCACAAAGAAGTTCTATGCATTTACACCTCAGAGCTGTAATGGGATCCTCAGATGCGTTTGTTTTGCTAACCAAGCATGAGACTCCCAGATGTTCTGGTTGAATTGCATCATCCTCTTGCGCATTACTTCTAATAGCTTTTGAACTGCTTTCTGATGGCAGGCAATGGTTGAAACTGACAGGATCTACTTTTTCATGCTGACCTTGTTTCTCACATAAGTTTATATTCTCCAAGACTACCTGATCATTTTCAAAAGATTCTTCCATATTACTAGGTCCTGGTTTAATTTGCATTGATTGGTATTTTTTATAAAGTTTTTTCCATTTTGACAGTAAATGCTTAGCCTTGTTTTTCAGTACTACAGAGGGACAGTTCTTGAGGATTTGGAAAACAGCTTTGGCAATATCAGTCTCTTGGAGATTAGTTATAGTCATATCAACAGTTTCAAGATATTCAAGATGACTTCCAATATCTTGGTAATTTTTTTTATGTAGTAGATTCTCTATACAACCAGCTGTAGTCATGATTATGCTTCTGTTAGACATTTCAAATTCTGAAATGAAAGTAGCAAAATCATGTTAACTACACCATATACTTTTGCATGAAGAATAAAGTATAATATAAGACACCTGATTCAGATAATTCTTCATATTTGGGGATTTTTCAAGTGTATTCTAATATTCACTCTACAGTTATAGAAAAGCAAATATATATATATATACACACATACATACATACACACATCTATAAAGACAATGACTTCCATAATACTTTAATTACTGGAGGCCAGGTGGCATAATATAATTTTTTTAAATACAGTATATGACAACATAATGTAATCCTATACATATTAGGGAATAAACCTGAATCACACAGAAAAATGCATCATTTGGGCTGCATATTATGTACAATTATAAAATGTATAATTGTACCCTGCAGTATTTTTAAGCATAGATGTTATGGTAATACTTCCAGAATGAGCCAAAGCAGCTATACACACTATACTGCCTCACAGAAATCAGTCAAGTTATAGGAACGTGTGAGAGACAAAGCATTTTGTCTGACGTTAAAAAGGTAACAAAGAACATTTTAGGGACCATTGATTATGTGTATGTTGGATTCTATGTATACAGCAAGATAGGTGAAGTATGCAAACCGTGGTTTCTGGAATTTTTTCCCAAGCTTCTTACCAGCAGTGGACATAGGAAACATCTGTATTTTCTTGTATGTAATGAATTAATATGTTGAAATGTGTGTGCAGATTCTCCCCTTGGGCTAATCAGGCTGGGTATATGTGAGAAGGAGGGAGAGGGAGAGGGAGAGAGAGGGGAAGGGAGGGAAAGGAAGATCTAAGCAAAGTGCATATGTGTTGCCTGTGTGTCCGCGTGCATGTTGCATCTCTCTGTGTGTGCACACTGGGAAGCACAGGACGGACTGCGTATGCTCTAGTCTGGAACAGGTAACTTAGGAGGAAGAAGCAGGGGAACTTAAAAAGGAGCACACAGCAGCATTCTGACCCGCTACTCAACTGCTTCTTCCCATAAGGTAGCATTTTTTTTTTTATCCTGAAGAAGAACTAAAGAGCCTCTTGATGAGGGTGAAAATGGAGAGTGCAAAAGCTGGCTTGAAACTCAACATT